AAGATTGAGGTCAATCTGAAATATCAAATATATATATAAATAAATAAATACTTTCATTAAAAAAATTATTATTTTTTTTATTTGCATCTTTTCTATATATATACATATTAAGAAAGTATACGTGGCTTCTCATTATATATATATATATATATATATATATATATATATATATATATATATATATATATATATATATATATATATATATATATATATATATATATATATATATATATATATATATATATATATATATTTTTTTTATTGTGGCTCTCGTATTCGAGGATACCCGTCTACAAGGGGCGGCTAGCCAATCCGTATTGCAGACACCCGTTCAGGCACAACTGTGTTTGTTCAACACCCACAGAGTCCACCTGTTGTCGACGGCCCTTAAGGGTTCCGACTGCCCAATTTTATTCACAAGGCTTGGCTCTACCCGTGGTATGGACACGTGGCCGAGTGGTTATAAAGTTTGCTTTGTGACCATGAGACCCGGGTTCGAAACTTACCAAAGTCGATTTGTCATGGAAAAGACTTCCTGAATGTTATCAGTCTGGAGCGTACGGCATGTCATTGGCAAGGAAGAATCCGAAAGAAAGTCAGAGGCAAAGAGAAAGGAAGATGTTTTAGGAATAAGATTGCTTGGCCAATTTGAAAGTAATTCACAAAGAAGCGTTGTGGATAAGGTGATGATCTGAAACGTGCAAGAGGGGGCATAGAAGATAAGATAAAGAGGGGAGCACAAAAGAAAAGAAGAAGAGAGGGGATAGAAAATAAGATGAAGAGGGGGCATGGAAGAAAAGACGAAGAGGGGGCATAGAAGATAAGATGAAGGGGGGACATAGAAGATGAAATGAAGAGAGGCATGGAAGAAAAAGATGAAGAGAGGGCACAAAATAATAGATGAAGAGGGGGGCATAGAAGATAAGATGAAGAGGGGGCATGGAAGAAAAGACGAAGAGGGAGCATAGAAGAAAAGACAAAGAGGGGGCATAGAAGATAAGATGAAGAGAGGGCATGGAAGAAAAGATGAAGAAGGGGGCATAGAAGATAAGATGAAGAGGGGGCACAAGATAAAAGATGAAGAGAGGGCATGTAAGAAAAGATGAAGAGGGGGCATAGAAGATAAGATGAAGAGAGGGCACAAAATAATAGATGAAGAGAGGGCATGGAAGATAAGACGAAGAGAGGGCATGGAAGATAAGACGAAGAGAGGGCATGGAAGAAAAGACGAAGAGGGAGCATAGAAGAAAAGACGAAGAGGGGGCATAGAAGATAAGATGAAGAGGGGGCATACAAGATAAGATGAAGAGGGGGCATGGAAGAAAAAAGACGAAGAGGGGGCATAGAAGATAAGATGAAGAGGGGGCATAGAAGATAAGATGAAGAGGGGCACAAAATAAAAGATGAAGAGAGGGCATGGAAGAAAAAAGACAAAGAGGGGGCGTAGAAGATAAGATGAAGAGGGGGCATAGAAGATAAGATAAACAGGGGGCATGGAAGAAAAGACGAAGAGGGGGCATAGAAGATAAGATGAAGAGGGGGCATGGAAGATAAGATGAAGAGAGGGCATGGAAGAAAAGATGAAGAGGGGCAAAAATAAAAAATATGAAGAGGGGCGTAGAAGATAAGATGAAGAGGGGGCACAAGATAAAAGATGAAGAGGGGTCATGGAAGAAAAGATGAAGTGGGGGCATAGAAGATAAGATGAAGAGGGGGCATGGAAGAAAAGATGAAGAGAAGGTATAGCAGAAAAGGGGAAGAGGGAGCATAGAAGAAAAAATGGAGAGGGGGCAACACCCCGTGGGCCATTTAATGCCGAAATTTAATTTTCTCGAGAGCTTTGAAATAACAAAAATATGATATGTTTCATTCTACTTTCACAATTGAATAAATGGTAGATGATTTTCAACTTTTCTGCATAGACATGTTTGTGTGGACATAATTACTAAAGGCAGTGATATACGTAGTTTATGTTGTTATATTTTGGAACGCTTTCTTTAAGAAATTGAAGGATATTATTTGAACTAATGCCACGAATGTGTTCTTTCATGTTGATTGTTTGGTAGTATTTGAAAACGGATTTGCCTGAAGTCACTACAATGTATGGCGCACTGTTGATTTTTTACTTAAATATTATTGTTGGTAATTTTTTTATAAAAATGTATTACTGGTATTTTTACTATAAAAATGTATTTTTTATACTTTTATAGTGTTTTGACCCCAGTTTTGAGGTTTACTATTTGCCCATAGCTGAGACCCTAACAGGTGCTACCACCCAGTGTCAGTGTGGACCTGGGAACACCAGCAATTAAGAGGTGGTTCCACCTTTCTCAAAATCTCCAATTTCCCGACCAGAGTCCACTTTGCCGGATGTAGTTTATCGTCATAGCAACGACTGTTCAGAATTTGCTTATTTTTGTTTCCAATGGTCTTTTCTCTTTTCTTACCATTTGGTTTCTTATTTTACTGTAAAATTTCTTTTACATCTGTTTTAAATATCTTGTTTTGTCTATAGAGTTCTTTCATGTGGTTGTTTGTTTGGTTGTTTCTGTTTAGCGACATATCAACACCTCTATGGGTCATTTAATACTGAAATCTAAATGTTTTGCACATAATTGTATGCTTTCATCTACAGATAAAACGTATTGTTGGTCATTTTGCTATAAATTGTATTGTTGGTAATTCTACTAAAAAATTGAATTGCTGGTCGTTTTACTATAAAAAATATATTTTATACTTTCATATAGTTTTGCTTTTTGTTGTCACTATTTGCCTATAGCTGAGACCCTAACAGGTGCTACCGCCTTGGGTCAGAGTGGACCTGAGAACACCAGCAATTAAGTAGTGGTTCTACGCTCCTCAAAACCTCCAGTCTCCCGATCAAAGTCGTTGCTGCCGGATGTAGTTTATCGTCATACCCAGGACTGCAAAGGAAAAAAGAAGAATAGGAAGTGAAAGAGCAAGGATGAAATGAAGTCAGAAAAAGAAATAATAAGAAAAAGAGAAGGAAGGAAAATAAAAATAAAGACATACTGAAGAAAGAAAAAAATAAATAAGAAAGAAAAAGAAAAATACTAGGTTGGCGGTTAGGTCACATCATTTTACAGTTGAAATGTAAGTTCTATGCTAACAGACTTTTCTGTAACATTTCTTGCTTGTGGAACTCTCTTCCGGTTTTATTCTATCTATCTATCTATCTATCTATGTTATTATTATTATTATTATTATTGGTCTTCACCTGGCATCTCGGTTTTAAACTCTTTCCCACCTCCGTAACGTAGATTCCCTGTGTTTTTTTCTGTACTTTCATAATAATTCTTCTGATGAACTTTCCTCTATAGTACCTAGACTTTATGAATTTAACCACAGTACTAGATTGGCAGCAAGGTCTCATCATTTTACAGTTGAAATGGCTAGATGTAACCGTAAGTTCTATGCTAACAGTTTCTTCTCTCACATAAGATTCACTTATTGGCATCTCGGCTTCACTCACTTTCCTACCACCATAATGTAGCTTTCCTTTGCCTTTTCTTTAAATAATTTCATGCTAATTCTTCTTTTCACTATGGTACATAGACTTTATGAATTTAAGTGCAGTACTAGATTGGTGGCAAGGTCTCATCATTTTACACTTGAAATGGCTAGATGTAACCGTAAGTTCTATGCTAACAGTTTCTTCTCTCGTATAAGATTCACTTATTGGCATCTCGGCTTCAGTCACTTTCCTACCACCATAATGTAGCTTTCCTTTGCCTTTCCTTTAAATAATTTCATGCTAATTCTTCTTTTCACTATGGTACATAGACTTTATGAATTTAAGTGCAGTACTAGATTGGTGGCAAGGTCTCATCATTTTACAGTTGAAATGGCTAGATGTAACCGTAAGTTCTATGCTAACAGTTTCTTCTCTCACACTTCTCACTTGTGGAACTCTCTTCCTGTTTCTTGATTCCCAATCAATTTTGATCTTCAAAAATTTAAATACAATGTCAATCGTTATCTTCTCTATTCTTAATCCTTGTTCTTTTATTGTTCTCTCTCTTTAATAGCAGTTTTTCGCATATTCTCTAATACTCTGTTGCGTCCTAGTGGCTTTATTGCCTTGCTTGGAATGAAATGATTAAAAAAAAGGAAGAAAATAAAGTGAAGAAGAACATGAAGGAGAAAACGAAAAGAAAAATAAGGAGAATAAAATTAAAAAATGAAAAGAGAGAAGAAAAAAGAAGTATAAGAAGAAATTGAAGAAAAAGAAAAGAAAAATAGGTTCAAGTCAAGAAGAAAGAAAAATTCAACGAAGAAGAAAAATTATAAACAAAAAACAAGGAAAACTTAATAAATGAAAACTATTTCCAGGAAGAAAGGATAGAGAGAAAAAAAATCAAAGGTTATATGAAACGTCGAGTTAGCAATGAGACGCCATTGCATGATTTTGTGTACTCTATAACATTCGCTTTCACAGTGAATAGGCATCAAATATTCCTTGAGTCTTAGACATTCATCTACCGTAGCCGAACATTTAGCCGAACGGACATTTCACCGAACAGACATTTCCTTGAAAAAGTCCAAGTAAAAATACTAACAAGCAATACTTTAAGTATTTTAGTTAGTAGTATTATAAGGCAGAATAGGACTAATAATTAATTAACACTGAATTTCAAGTGATTAAATTACCAAATCTAAATTTTATAGTTAAAAGTTTTCTTATATCAATATTTGTTTATTGAAATTAGTATTTTAAAAAATATTTGAGTGTATTTGGGTAAAAACGTAGCAGCTAATTATTTAAATTCGTATTTAACAATAAGATAAAAACTAGTTCATCCCTTTAAGATAATGATCATAAAAAGCGAAATTGAAAGATCTTTCATATCGTAAAAGCTTAAGATATTTGCTGTAGTAAAATGTGCTTTTTTCTCAAAATACTTATCATCATACAGTAATATTTGAATTAAAATATATATACAGAATAGATTTTTAAGAATGTCTATCAAAAAAAGCGAAAAGTTATAAATGAATACAGTAAATAAATATAAATATATGTAACACATTACGATAAAGAGTGTGGCATGCATGCAAGTACGCCACTATATTTTCGGTTAAATGTCAATTCGGTTAAATGTCCGTCGGCCAAATGTCTGAATTCCTCATCTACAGAAAATATTTAAATGATTTAAACTTCCACGGATGATTCAGTAAACAGTGCTTGAATAAAATATTGTTATGGACGTTTCAAACACTTCTTTGAAAAGTATTACATTTTGAAAGGCCTTAAACCAGCAGTAGACAAAGAAATGCTGGACGTGTGCGGTCTACAACCAAAGCAAATTGGCGATTGACAAATCGGGAAGATCTTTTGATTCCACAATCTATTTGGAAAGTACCAAAGCTCTTTGAATAGTTCCACTACCCATTCTTTAAATTTCGTAAAAACTTTTTGGCAAAACATCGAATCATCCTTCTCTTTTAGCCCTCTAGACTCTTTTGGTGACTTTCGGCCTTTTAAATCGCCCTTGAAATATACTGAATTACAGACCGTGGTCGAGAGTAAGGAGAACGTGACGAGGCAGACGATGGTGATCCTGAAAATGGATTTGCATATGTTCTTAAAATTTAAAGTGACGCTGGGTTAAATTTGTGAGGTACTTTTAAAGAGACTAAGGTACCATTGTTCTAGGTAAGTTATTTCATGTGTTGTGTCCCTTCAAAGCATAACGAACATGGCTCTCTACAACTTTCTGCCCATTGTAGTTTCAAGAAATCTTTGTCCTCTTACTATCCCTCCCAGTACCTCACTGTTTCTATTTGACAAGGTGGCAAATAGAAACCGTTATCCCCTGTGAGTGTCAAATTCTTCGAAACCCCTTTCCTCATTATGTGTCCTAGAAATTTCAGACGTCGCTTTTTTGATTCTTAGTATAAGTATCCATTTTGTTTCTATTTTTTTTTTAAGTTTATCGTTTCTCATATCTTCCATTCATGGTATTCTCACTATCCTTCTGTTGAACGTTTTTTTTAATCATTTCAGCCAAAACAAAGACAATGAAGCCTCTAAGACGCAAGGAGTTACCGAGTGTGAAAGAATATAAGAAAAAAAAAACATTATTAAGAAGAGAGATCAATAAAAGAACAGAAATTAAGAAGACAGAATATAACGACTGAAATTGCATTTACATTTTTAAAGATCAAATTTGGCTGGAAAGCAAGAAGCAAGAAGAGAGTTCCACAAGCGAGAAATGAAAGAGAAGAAACTGTTAGCATAGAACTTACGGTTTCATATAGAATTGTCAACGTAATACCTTGCCGCCAATCTAGTACTGCACTTAAATTTATAAAGTCCGGGTACCAAAAATGATTAGCATGAAAATAATTATGGAAAAGGCACAGGGAAGCGACGTTATCGTGGTGGGAGAGTGACTGAAACCGAGATGCCAGGACCAATAATATTGTATATTCTTCTTTGTATGCTTACCATAATAAGGGAGGAATAACTTATCCCAATCAAGAGAGTAATAAGAGTAGACAATTTCGTCTATCAACCGACTCATACTCCTTCTCGGTTTTTTGAACAGGAGTACAGGTTTGTCCTTTGTTTCCTGTTTAGGATTGGATTTCCGGTGTCTTCTAGAGTCTATTTCAAGTTTATACTGCGCTCTCTGCTTGAACTCTAAATTTTGTTTTTATGCTATCATTTTAAATCCCTGTTCTATCAACAACCTCATTCGTCTTCTTCTTTGTACTATGTCCATTAAGGACGTTAGTGATCACAGCCCTCCACAATTTCCTGTCCTTTGTAGCTCTTAGTAAATTTTGTTTTTAGGCTATCACTCTGTTGTATCAACAATTTACACAGCCCCATTTCTCTTCTATGCACTATGTCCCTTCAGGACGTGGGTGATCATGGCTCTCCACAATTTCCTGTTCATTATAGTAAATTTTGACTTTTTCATATCTTTCCTAAAACCTGTCCTGCCACCCCTTTATACAAGTTTGTTAGGTAGGTCATGTGATGTTTTCCTTTGTCATTCTTACCTTCAAATATCTCCTACGAACAATAAATAGAGAAAGGTATCTAGTTTATCGAAAGCTTATAAATAAACACACTATTTGAAATATTCATTTCTATGTTGAGAAAACAAAACAAAACATGAGAATCATGTTGATATATACCGTAATTTATCGAAAATAATATAAATAAATAAATAATACCCACCCCAATAAATGATCCAAAAATTAAGTAATATATCTATTCTTATGTATAATACGCATCTATAAATTTTGTCAAAAAAAAAAAAAAAAAAAAATAATAATTACGAAGACATTTTGTCGACCTTGGCATCGAAACTAAGCGGCTAAAATAATGCTGAAAATTACCAGCGGTTTTCTCGATAAATATAACATTTTATTTTACCGCCAAAATGTCGTCAAAATGTGCGAGTTATAGTGCAAATTTTAACCAAAAAGTAATAGAATTAGCAGAAAGAATAGGAAACAGAGCTGCAGTTAGAGAATATGAGTTGAATGAGGCTAACATACGTTTATGGAGAAAGAATAAAAATGAACTAAAAAAGTGTAAATCAAGTTCCAAAGCTATAGGTAGAAGAAGAAAAGCTTAATGTCCAGATATGGAACAAAGTTTAGTTGAATTTGTGAAAGAAAGACGATCAAGTGGATGTTCCATAAGTCCTGTGGAAATAAGGATGAAGGCAAAAGAACTTATGAAAACCATGTATCATGGAAACACATTTAAAGCTTCAATAAACTGGTCTTTTCTTTTTATGTGGAGGTTTGATATATATCTATGAGGAGGAGAACATCCATAGCCCAGCGTTTGCCTGATGACTACAAAGATAAACTTTTGAATTTTTAGCGTTTTGTTATTCACCTAAATAAAAAGCATAGCTATCCTTTAGGCTGTATTCGAAATAAAAAAAAATGCAGTTACTAATAAACAAATTTATTGACAAAAAATATTACAATTATTATTGTTGGATTTAAAATGAAAATTGGGATAATATCTTTCTTATTTTAGAACAACAAGTACGTATTTATTATTATAAATCAATAGCGAAAAAATATTTTTGTTTAAACCTATTTATAATACGCTATTATCACCTGTAATTTACAGTAAAAAAAACTGCGTATTATTTTCGAGAAATTACAGCAAGTTCTGTCTTTGGCGGATTGATGTCTTGAAATGATATTTTAAATCCGACATAATTACAACGGAAGAATGTTCGATAACGAAGATAGAGTGTCTGTTGGCTTTGAAGTTTTTCTTGTGGTCTTTTAGGGAGGGGAATTTTTATGATTTTGCGAGGCTGTTTAGGCAGACATGCAGTGTGATTTCTTCGATTTCAATGTCAATTTCGTATTCTGTATTGCTTTCAGTGCTTTCTGTATATTTTGATTTATGCATTTGTTAAGTAACTTGTGATCTTGGGGTTTTACGTTGGGCGGGTTCCTTCCTTCCTAAACTCCTCTTAATTCCCCAGTGACCTATAAATGTAACCTGTAAAAGCATATATATAAGTGTACTTTGAAGTCAACATATAAGCATGGCCTGACGATTGCGTTTAAACATGAAACAGACTGTCACCTGGGTGTTGTCTTCAGTGTCCACTTTTATATTTTCATACAATCTATCGCTGGTTGTGAGCACTTTAAATCGTAAATATGGCAAAAATTTTATCTTTTCAATTCCCTACACACACACACACACACACACACACACACACACACACACATTTACGAATAAAAATGACAATAGGAAAACTAGTAACTGCTGACGCGTTTCGTCCAATGTGAACTTTATCAAAGCAAAATACGAAATGAATTTAATTGAACAAAGTAACTAATAAAAACAAAAACCGAATGTTCCTAGCAACTGGAATGTAAAGAAGCGCTATTTCATATTTTTTTTCTCTACATTCGAGTTAAAACCTAGTTGAGAGACCTATTTGCATATCATACAAAAGAGGAGAACTCATTAAAACAACTACCATGAGAAGATTTATAGAAAAAATAGAGGGAAGCCACATGATGACGCTTTGAAATGAAGTCGAGATGCCAGGTCAGGACCGATAATATTACAGAAACTTTTTTTATTTTTTGTCGAGAATCTTGTGCTATATTTGGAGCGTCATACCAGATATGGCGGCAATATTCAATGCAACGATGTATGGTGAATTTATTAATGTGCAAGATGCATTCTGGACAAAAAAATCTTCTAGCTAGACACAATAAAGCAAGATTCATAGCAGTCCTGAGAAAAAGAAATTTCAAAATATAAATGAAATGTCAATCATCATCTGTCTTGAAACCTGTTCTTTTATTGTCCTTTCTGTTCCATTTGGTGAAATCATTAAAAATTTTCTTCGTTCTTCTAAATTCCAGTTTCTTTCCACACTCTGTAACCCACACATCTTCCAGATACTCCCCCACCCTCTAACCCTCAGATATTCCAGCTCTTCCCTCACTCCCTAACCCTCAGTTCTCCCCGTTTTTCCTCTTTCCTCAGATCTTTCAGCTCTTCCCCCAATTCCTAACCCACAGATATCCAGTTCTTCCTCTACCCTCTAAGCCTCAGATCACCCCGTTTTTCCCTCTCCTCACCCTCAGATCTTCCAATACTTCCCCTACCCTAATTTTCAGATCCCCCAGTTCTTCCTCTCCCCCTAACCATCAGATGTCACCTTTTTCCCTCACCTCGTCACTCTCAGATCTTCCAATACTTCACTCACTCCCTACTCCTCAGATCTCGCCATTTTTCCTCTGCCTCCCCTCCTCTCTGATCTTCCAGCTCTTCCCCCCTCTCCCTAACAATCAGATCTTCCGGTTCTTCCCCAACCCTCAGATCTACCAGTTTTTGCCTCCTAGTAACCCTCAGATCTTTCAATTCTTCCTCCCACCCCAACCCTCAGATCTTCCAGCTCTTCCCCGACATCTAACCCTCAGATCTCCTAGTTCTTCCCCGACCACTAATCCTCAGATATCCTAGTTGTTCCCCCACCCCGTGTAGCTCTCAGACCTTTGGTCGACAATTGACAAGATCCAAGTATTAACAGTAAAAAAAAAGAAGAGAAAGTGTCCCTAATGTGTAGTCTTCATTAAGTTTCTCTAGTTTTTGTTTTTCGTGATTCATCTCATGTTTCATGTCCCTCACCAATTTTGCCTTACGACTATTCTTGCAAAATCAGCGCCATTCTTAACGTAAACATTCAGACAATCTATAAATAAAACGGGAATGCATAAACTTATACGCACACTCACGTATTCTCCCGCACCCACCTCACATATATACATACACAAGTGGGAGCCAACAAGGTAAAATTCGCACATATAAGCGTAAACAAGCAGACAAAACCCATAAAAATGTTTGAAATAGCTTCGTATCTAGGTCAACTATTTTGTTGTTTTTCGAGAGGGGGGAGGAAAAGACTGAAAAAGGTTTTTGAGAGAAATCTAGAACAATGTTAATTGTCTTTCGTGTTGTTCGACGCATTGTTGCGGAAAGCATGCAGTAAAAACGAACGAATGTAAATGGGTAATAATGATAATAATAATAACAATAATAATAATAATTCCAGTTGTAGTTGGAGCACTCGGATTGATTGAAAAACATTCCGATAGACTCATTGACAGGATTCCTGGTGGCCCATAGGTTAAAGAAATACACAAAATTGTACTCACAAGTACAGTTCACATCTTTACACGAAGAACTTTATGTAAAATGTGTGTGATCTTAGTTCTTTTTTAAAATGATCAGTGGAAAATGTCGTGAAGTCATTTCTGACTTTAGGTCTCTGTTTGGGACCCCGAAGGAAATGTGTATACAACAGAAATCAAAGGAAATAATAATAATAATTTTAGTAATACCCATGAAAATTTCACAATTTTCTCATTTTAATTTTCTGATGAATATTAATTCTTAATTTAATCATTAAATAAGTTCCTTGCGAGTTCAATGACAATAAAATAGCTATAGTAATTCCCGTGTTCCATTGTTAAATATTTGAGCTTAACATCTTTAACAAATTGATACATTAACAATAAAAATAGGAATGCTGGTCATTATTTAAAGAAGTAAGGGGGTAAAAATGAAAAAAATTTGAAATTGATAAGTTTTTCCATTTCACTGAAGCAGACATGAAGCGCATGGAATCGTTATCGCCTTCTTTATGTTCTCTGTTTTTTTTAAAATCGAACAGCCTGTTTGATATATCTTTTCCGTATTTCCTTGCGATAAAAACGGAATGGTCCAGTATTTATAATCTATTGGCAGATCAGCAACGTACAAGTTAGCTACCTAAGTAAAGATCAAAGCAGAATTATAATATGAAAATATCCAGACAGATCCTCTTCTTAAAGCATAAAGACGCGGGCTTTATTGCGATGCGAAAACTAGCAATTGTCAAATTATAGCCATTGTTGTCCGACATGATACCCGAGTGGATTCAAAAGATATTGACAAGATTGAAAAATATCAACACCTAGCCTGTGAGTTGAAGAAGCTATGGAATAGGGATTACTGAAGTAATTCATGTGGTAATGGGTACGCTTGGGACATCACCGTGAAAACTGCGCTTAGAAAAGCGCTTAGAGGGAAATTGGAATCGAGGCCAAGATTGCGTGGGGCAAAAAATCAGCTATCATTCACTCTGCGAGGATTCTCCGAAACGTTCCTGAGTTGTTAAGAGCCTTTTGAATATCATGTCTCAATAACAGAATTTCCATTGACCATATCAATATTCGACACTAGCATAATAATAATAATAATAATAATAATAATAATAATAATAAAAGTGATGACCTCAAGAAATACACCGGCCTCAGGATTGAAGCTTTATGTCAGGAGACTAGTGTCCCGGTTGGCAATTGAAAGTTTGGGGTTTATACCATCGAAATCAAAATACTATACTAACAAAAAAAAAAAAAATTCTAGTATTCCCTCGCTTCAGAAGTCTGCGTTGCTTATCACTACAAATATTGTGCGAAAGTTTCGATCTGTTTGAGGACGTATATTTTGACGGACAATAACCATAATACAAGATATGTTGAAGACAAAAACCGTGCGAATGAAAACAACAATAAAAACAGCAACAATAATGATAATCACGTGAATAACATTCTTCGAGACAACAGCATCTCAGATTGCTTTGTGAGGAACTGCATATATCATCCGAAAAAACACCCACTCCATCTGAAGGAAACGTCCCAAATATCCATATATAACTCTCCTAAAGTGTCCTTCTTACTCACAGACCCCAGAGGTGACTTGGTAATTAGGCACTTAAAAATACACTCTGGCACACATAATAATAATAAAATATCCGAAGAGGATCAAGAAACAAGCGAATTTGAAGACAAATATGTTGATGGAATTAGAATTATGAAAGGATAAATGAGAAGCTAGTGAAAGTGAAAGTAGCCTGCATTGATATGCCGACAAGAGAGCCTCTTTTGATAATCAGATATTAGCGTAATATTAAACATACGACTTATATTGGAAATCTTACTTTAAGATAAAATATGCAATGCAAGAAAACCTCTGTTGATATGTGAAGCTGCAAAAGTTCTTCGGTCAAAGGATGGAATAAACCCGAAAAAGAAGGGAGGAGGATCAGAAAATAATAAACAAAGATTGAAGTTAAAAATCGACAAAAAATATACAAAAAAAATGAAAGCAGATATATTGATTCATAAAAATAATGAACTCAGATCTTGTAAAGTGCATAAAATTAAGAGAAAATATCATTTGCTCTTTTATGAAGCCCTGGGCAGGATTTGAGGATCTGTCGCAATTTCAAAGTCCCAAGACATTTTATTTATTTTCTCTTGAGGAGAGATTCCCATTTCTAAATGTACCACTAGTCTCCATACTGAAATAATCGTTTACACAATTACTAGTAGATGACCATTCCTACCCAGTCATGTATATTTTATAACCAGTCTAGGGATCCATTCACTTATATCCATCGTAGTTTTAATCCTGTTTCCACAGGAACGACTTCATAAAAATAAGGAACACAGATCTTGAAAAGTCCATAGAATTAAGAGAAAATAAACAACAAATATCGCAAATGAAAGAATAACTGAAATTAAAAAGAAATCCAAACCAAAGCTCAACGTAGGTTTGAGAAACGGGAAAGATTCTATAGACAAAAACAAGATATTTGGAACAGATGTAAAAGAAATTTTACAATGAAATAAGAAACCAAACAGTAAGAAAAGAGAAAAGACCATTGGAAAGAAATATAAGCATATTCTGGACAGTCGTTGCTATGACGATAAACTACATCCGGCAACGAGGACTCTGGTTGGGAAATTAGAGATTTTGAGGAAGGTGGAACTACCTCTTAATTGCTGGTGTTCCCAGGTCCACACTGACCCGTGTTTGTAGAACCTGTTAGGGTCTCAGTTCGGGGCAATAATTAACCCCAAAACTGAGGTCAAAACACTATGAAAGTATAAAAAATATTTTTATAGTAAAAAGACCAGTAATACATGCTCATATATAAATATTACCAACAATACATATTTATAATAAAATTACCAACATACTACCAAATTGTTGTGGCTTCAGCCAAATTTGTTTAAAATACTACCAAACAACCAATATGAAAGAACTCTTTCATCACATTAATCCATATAATATCCTACGATTTCTTAAAGAAATTAAACTTTATTTAAGAATATGACATAAAACATGCATATCACTCCTCTGGTAGTTATATACCCACCAACATGTATATGCAGAGAATCTGAGTTTCATGTACCATGTATTCAATTGTGAAAGCAGAATGACATATATCATATTTTATTACTTCCAAGCTCCCAAGAATATTAAATTACGTCATTAAATGACCCATACGTTGGTGATGTGCCGTTAAACAGACAAACCAATCATAATAACATACGCGGAGATGATAAATGTCTCCATTGAAGATGGTAAATGATTAAAAAAACACGAGAAATATTCAAGAATGACAATGGCAATTTATTACAACCAAAGAATTAATGGGAATCACTAGGAATTGGCAAAACTCTAAATTTCTGGCTTGAAATTGTCTCTCCTATCCATGTTATTATGGCAAGTCTATTTAATTCAAAATTGGATTTCACAACATCAGAATGGTTTTCCTAAAGTATAGCATACTTTCCACCAAAAAATAATGGCACAGTCTCCCCTACCCCAGAAAAAAAAACAAACAAAAAAAAAAAAACTATCGACCTATGACTTGCTTTCCAATATTTTGTTGACATTCATGTTGACCAAAAGATGATACAGCCATCTGGAAGAATACAATGTATGTCCTATTGAGAAAAAAAAACTTAGGATGTCTTCTATGGTTGCAAAAGATCAGTTGCATAAATATAGGATGATTCTTGGAAACACTCACAGAAAAAAAATCTCAATATAGTATTTAAATCTAAATAGTCTACAAAAAAAAAAACACTTCGACAGCAATCCAAATTTGTGCATCCTCAAGGCCCTTAAAGTATACAAGAACTCACCAAAAGTTGTGTTTTTCTTACGTCATAATACGAGGTCTGTCTGAAAAATAACGTGACTGGTGCCGCAAACAATTTATTTAATTTCCAAACAACAAACTACATGGTCCCCCTTTAAAGTAACCCCCCCCATCGAGTCTAATGCACTTTTCTATCCTTCTCTGCCACACTTCTATAAACTGCTGGAAGGATTCTTCTTAGTCGTTACATCCCTCTTGATGACATCCACGCCTTCAAAAAGAGTCCCCTTCATGCTCCCTCTGAGCTTGGGGAAGAAAGTCACAGAGCAATATAAGGCGAATAGGGAGATTGTTCCAGTACGGCGATGTTCGTCCAGGAACTGTCGGATGTTCAAGGCGTTGTGAGCAGGTGCATTGTCGTGGTGAATCAGCCACGATTCGTCCTGCCATAAAAGCACGTAATAAAAAAAAGCAATGGTTGTAGAAAGCTAAGATTACAGGTATATCCTTCCAAGATATTATGTTA